GTACTTCTTGAGAAATAGCGATAACAAACTTTCACTATCAAAATCCAAGATGGCTGCCTGTCGGCCATGTTGTTTATCCGATCTGTCTCAAAAGTTGCCCTGCACAGCTCAGGACCAAGGGGAACCTACATATAAAATATGAGAAAGATCCCTCTGGTACTTCTTGAGAAATACCGATAACAAGAATTGTTTACGGACGGACGACGGACCACGGACGCAGGGTGATTTGAATAGCCCACCATCAGATGATGGTGGGCTAAAAATATCAAAAGGCAATTTCCTATACAATGTGATTGGCTTATGTTTGAAGTTTGCAGATTTAATGCAGAAGTTTTTAAGAAATAAACCTGAAACAAAATTTTTGCAATGAAATGCAATTTTTCGGCATCTTACAAAATGCACCTCTGTACCAAGGTTGACTCATGTGACAGATTTAAAGTTAATACCTGCTACAGGCTTTTTTATTTTAGAAAGATGGACTAAATAAAGTGCATTAATGCAAAAGGCCAAAGACACTGTACCATGCTCTGCTAAAACATCATGATCAACTGTTTGGCAAAAATAGACTTACTGTGAAACTTGTCATCGTCCTTGAAGTCAGCATAATCATCTTTCAACTCAAATGGGTCACTGCGACCTCCACCTCTTGTTGGTGGAACAATCTTCCAAACACGCAGAATGAACTGAAATTATGAAAATAAAATTGATGAACTATAAACATAAATGTACAATTATGGACAATGGTCAATATTCATTTTCATGTTCAACTGATCATGATTTCCCTTCAGATTCCTGTACCTTTTCCTTCTGATTCCTGTCCCCCTATACCCCTCTTCTTCTGATTCCTGTCCCCCTATACCCCTCTTCTTCTGATTCCTGTCCCCCTATACCCTTCTTTTTCTGATTCCTGTCCCCCTATACCCCTCTTCTTCTGATTCCTGTCCCCCTATACCCCTCTTCTTCTGATTCCTGTCCCACCCTATACCCTCTCCTATTGATTCCTGTCCCCAACTTATTTTCTCCTTCCTTTTTTCTTCCCTCCTAGCTTTTTACTTCTCAACCCTATGCATTCTCCTATCCATTTCCTATCCCCATCCTGTGTTTTTTCCGTTCTAGCTGTTTACTTCACCCTCCCTTTGCTGCTTCCAGTTAACATTCTATGCCCGCAATCTCCTTCAAGCTTTATTATGTCCCCACCACCTATGACCAAATGTTCATCCCATACCCCAAAAGCATTGGTAGACAAAAAATACTTACTTACAAGTTTTTACATTTTAATCTGTTTATACTGAAATACCAACCACAATTTTTGTAGTTGACCTCAATACATAACACTATAAAGAAAACAGGATTTAATTGTTTTGAAGGCGATTTTCTATAAATATTGATTTTAAATGCATATAAGGAATAGATTAATGTTCGGTATGTAGAAGAACCCAAGATAATCTGGATAGAACCCCAATTTACTGAATACCTAGTGGTGAACAATGGTAAACCAAGTACAATGTAATTGTTTTGAAATAGTCCTTTGACTGAGTGATTTAGCCTCCTATTGCATAATGAACTTTACCAACCTTTGAACTGTAAGAGTTCAAATGTGTCTTCAGGGGTGAATTGGTTTAAGGTCATAGGAGTGTATTGCTAAACGGAAATAGGAAGTACATCCCTAGTTGAAAATCCAATGTAGGGAGACACTATCACAATTTCCGCATATTCTAATGTTTAATATTAAACTGATGATTAGTGTATGCTTATTAATGACAGAACAGTGTGTTCTTTCAACATTAAAGTATTGCAAAGCAATTCAGGCATTAATTCAGTTGTTTTTTAATCAATGAGTCACATGTGTCCATTTTTCTGTACTTCAGGAAACCGGCTACCTATTTCACTACTGTGAAGTTTTTCAAGAACGATAACTCTTGCATGCACTTACTATGTGTATATGGTTTTATTAAAAAATGTCAATTTTTAATCGTTTATAGATCATTAATTTTACACAATTTTCGCATTATGAAATTTATATACATTAATGCAATACTAATCTATGTTAGTATCATTTTCATTGAAATTATTTTGCAAAAAAATGTGTGTTTCAAATTTTTTTTCACAATTCACTCCATTTTACATAAATTTCCATTTAAATCCTTAAAATTCTGACAACCTATATTTTTTTATGGCAGAAATTTTCTTTACTTCAAAGCAATATAACTACAAAATTTGAATAAATTCTACTGAGAAATGGCGACACAATCCTATTACCTTAAGCATCACATAAACACTAATCCCATGATGTCACTGTATAAAATGTACCTGTATAGCTATATTCACTTTGTTCATTAGATCAATTGTTCAATACAAATGTATCAGTAAGGAATATCTCATCCCAATAATTAATTGATCAGTGGCTGATCACTGAAACGAGTCAGGTGACTTTGACCTGGTAACTGAAACAACAGTCGATGTCCGGTTTCAGTTATACTGGGGAGTTAAATTGTGTAAGGGTTGTATGTGGGGGCTGTTTCAATTCTATCAAAAGTGCATATATCATCATCTATCAACACAGTATGATCAATATCTGTCACCATGGACAGTCATTTGTGTTGTGACTACCCACCCACACAGACATACTAAAATATCCTCTACTGCTTATAATTAACGTGTATGTTATTGTACTACTGAAATAAAAATTATAATATCATATCATTTGCATCTCATTGCTGATCCAATTGTTTCACTTAATTCATTCAAATACTAATAAGTGACTTTAAAATGATAAATAAGCAGTTTTAAGCTACTACAATTACCAAAATATTTTTTATATATTAAAAAAGGACAGTATCAGAATACGGTTGAAAGTTATGAGAAAAAAAAATGAAAAAATATAGACTTTTAAAAACAATCCCTGCCTACCAACCCTATCCTTATTATACATGTTTCATGTGAGTTAGTTTCCACAATGCTGGTTTGTTATTTATTTTCATGCCAAAACACATCAGGTACATTAACTTGATGTTCATTGTCATTAAGTCAGACACTTATTGATTTCCTGGGAATAAATGAAGCATTAATATTTGATATGCAGTTTCATTGCATGACTCTAAAAATACATAATGAATTCTGTATGGAGATGCTATCTAATTGAAAAACAAAAAATCTTAATGAACTGAAGCATGACCAATTCCTACACAATTCAATTTCTACTGATATTATTTACAGTATATTAAAAAGAAAGTGTTTAAAAACTAAAAGAGAAAAGATTCTGTACATTAAAAGCCACGCAGACAAACAGAGACCATGTAACACAATATCTATACTGTTTAGATGTGTCACGTGAACTAAGATATATATACTAAGATGTATATATATGTATATATAGTTACTTTAATTCACAGTTGAATCCAGAAATCATTACAATTTTCACTATAGTATAGATGACCCCACTTGCCTTCAATAGAACTATAGGAAGGATCGGACAAGGCCAAACAAAAAATATTGATTATTCTAGTAACCCTACCTCATGTACCCTCATTTTTGTGCCTACCAAAAACTTGCAAAGAAGCACTGTTAAAGACAAGATCACTCGCCTGTATAAACCATATAAAATCATTTGTGAAAATAAAATTTGTTACCTACATGTACCTGCCTAACCAAATTTTTTCCAACATGTTACAGGAAACACATATATTTTGTTGTTTGGCCTGATGTTTCATGCATATAAAGTATTTCTACTGATGTTAACTAGTTATCTAATCAACAATACTGCAATAATTTAGCGATATAACTTGCAGTAATAATAAGAAAATATGATATATTCCTTAGATAAATTCATATTATCAATATTTCATTCATCATCACTCAATGTCTGAACAACTGACTTATAAAAACATCATACATGTACATGCCAATATAGGGCAAAGGTAAATTAAATGCTCAGGTGTTAGCCTAGTGTATCTATCTGGGTAAGATGTGCGTGACTTAATTGTCATTGATCAATGTTACTGTTTCCTTTCTTCACTAGTAATGAGGATTTTGTAAATATCAACACTAGACCAAAACCGGATCTACAGAGTTCAGATTTTAAGCCAGAGTTTAGACATAGATCTGGATTGGACAGAGTCGGGATATAGTTGTATTACATCTGCTTTTCTCGGGTACTGAAGACTGGGTAATCCTAATGATTTAACGCTTTCCGTACCGTTGTTGTGTACAGACGACAACAATATGTCATCCTGGTCCTCGTTGTCGTGTACAGATGACAACAATATGTCATCCTGGTCCCCGTTGTCGTGTACAGATGACAAAATAATAGATCGTCTCATCCCCACGACAACAGACTTTGATGTAACCTGTCTTATGCAATTAATTGCCGCTAAAATCAGCACCCATCAGATGCAGATTACATGTTTTTCATTATGTGACCTATTGTTTTCGAATTTGCCGCAAGATGTTTGTGTTTGGTGCCTCAAATATAAACTATATGGCGACAACTTAATTTGATACGGACACTCGTAAATTCATCACCAAATATTTATTAAGACTGATGGAAGTAAATATGGATATTTTAATAAAGTCTTGATGAAATCTACTTGTATTTAGAAAAAATAATTAACGACTTCATATTCGTAACCATAATCAATCTCCATTGGGAACCTACACTACAACGCTGTGTTAAATACACGGAATCGTATCATTTGTTGCAGGACAAATGTCGATTTCTTAGTCATAATCAGCTGCCAGTTAGTCCTACAGTAATTCTGCGAAAATGAAGAACAACAACATGAAACAATACAAATATTTGTTCACGGTTGCCTGTTTATTTCTTGCAGCAGTTACACCTCGTTTAAAAAGTACTTTAATAATCCACTATTTTGTTATATATGCTACGGGGCGAGACTAATAATAACATCTGATACAGAATCCAGACCGGATCGAGTTGCGGTATGGAAAGAGATAAGGCGATCTCCATATGTCATATTGGTTTATCCTTTAACAGGGAGTCTTTTGGTGGCTGTTCTCTGGACATTTTCAATCATTATTTGGTCTTTTGTTAATAGTGGATTCCATGTACATGAAGCATATTCCAAAAGTGTCGAATGAGAGATTTATAGTTACACACAGACTTAGGAACATCACCTTGTCGATGAAGTTGAATGATTTAAATATCAGACCTGTTATACTATTGGCCATGGAGACACATTTTACAAATGTTGGCTGAACTTTAACTTGTTGTTGAATGTGACGCACAGATCTTTCTCAGAGACAACTTTGGTAATATGGACTTACTTTTACCATGTTGCAGTGTACGTGGTGTAATTATTTTCATTTTCCTTCAAGCCCAATACACATTTGCTTGCATTTTATTAGGTTGCCTTACAAGCGTCAGCTGTAGGGAATTTCCCTTTAGCTTCGATCAGCGGTAGAGGATCTGGCTGGACAGCCAAGGGTCGCAGGTTCGAGCCACAGCGATGGTAATATCTTTTATCACTATTCCCCGATCCTACTACATACTACAAACTGGTGCCGTTGACCCTCCCAGTTCAACGTAGGAGAACCCTTGGCTGGGAGTAAAAGAACCTGGGTTGATGTTCAAAATAAATGGGGGAATTAGTATAAAAGATGTGCATTGATTACGGTAGGTTGCCTTACAATCGTTAGCTGTAGGGGAATATCCCTTTAGCTCAGCGGTAGAGCATCGAGCTGGAGATCCAAGGGTCGGGCGTTCAAGCCCCATGCAGTGACAGCATAATGCACGACACTTTATCACTATTCACCAACCTACTACATATATATAATAAAAGCTTAAACCCCCTCTACTTCATAGACTGCTATCAAAACCAAATTAAATCCCATATTAAACATTATTGTAGCGGAACTCTACTGGGTTGATCGCCAGCGACCTGCAGGTAGCTCAATTTTTTTAATTAATAGAGTTTGGAAGGTAATATTTGTCCTGTTACACATTTTTTCGCCCAACAAAATACACCCAATAAGGCTAGGGTGGTATAGGGTCGTTTATTTCTTTGGGGTCAAAGGCTTTTATGAAGGAGGCTTACTAAATTGTAGCTGAACTGGACTGGGATGATCACCTGCTAGCTCACTTTTCATGATGCTATTTGTGATTGGCCAAGTCAAAACTTAAGAAAATTTTAGACTTCAGGTCGTCTCATGATTATGGGGCCTGGGCCCGTATTCATGAAACCGTTTTCTTGCTCAAGCATGGATTCTGTGCTCAAACCGGTTTTTCGTTACCCACTTAAAACCATGACAACTGATCAAATAAATAATTGTAAACATTGCAAACAGTATTCTACTTTAAGAACCTTCAAATGTTCTCTAAATCAGAGACGTATACGTCTCTGTCTAAATCATTGACAAAATAAGATTGTTTTGATTATTTATAACCTGAACAAGAAATTAAACTTGAGCACAAAATCAATGTGTGAGCATAACAACGGGATTTCACGAATACGGGCCCTGGTCACTTTCAGTCAACTGCAAGTGAGATTAAAATCCCACATTTGAGACGGTACAAAAATGTACGGAAAATGTGGACGTATGATGAAGTATTGAAGCATGTGAGCTCAGTCATGAGGCCACGACTATTTTATATCAAAAACATTTTAAGATTTTAGCGACATGTATATGTTCACGTGTCATGCACGGGTAGGTTTGTGTTCAAGCTAACACTTGCACGACTTGTGTACCAATGTTACGGGGAACATATATATAATGATAGATCTATACTAGTTATCGGTTAGTTATTTTTTCTAGATGACATATTTAGCAAAGTAAATCAAAAGATAGACAAGAAAATAACAAACCTCCTTCCTTGTCACAAATATGTGGTAAAAATCTTTGCTTGGGGGAGTTGCCACGTCTGGGTGGTCGACCAGAGCGCCATGTTTATCTATCCAAGCGTCCATTTTGAAGCTTCTGCTATCACCATCTCAACCAGATTACGTTAATGCGAGAGTTGAATTCTCTAGTTTTAAAAAAGAATGTTCTTCATAATGATTGACCAACATTTTATAATATCGACAAAATATATAAAGGTTAGAGAATAAAATAAAAATAAAAAATAATTTTAGAAAAACATTTATTTTCGAAATCTTTCTACTAGTATGATAGTTCAAGAGAGATATCGAATGAAGTGAAAATGGCGACCTCCGTGTTTTGTCTGTGACAGACTTTGGAAAACAGAAAGTCGATTCGACGAAATCAGAACTCAGAAATATGTGACAAGACTAACAGTTAATTTTCAATTGGAAATCTGTATTCTATATCCGATCATTGACAGAACCATGTCAAAATGTTCAAAAGGGGATGGCGAGCCTACCTTGTTGTAGTAATTTTCGTTGTCCTGACAATTTTATATATGGGATACATTTGTCAGAATAACTTTTGCTCTTTCTCATCGTCTCGACGCAATGCTGAAGGACAATCTGATGATAGGTTTTCTGACATTTCTAAACTGGTACCAGACACTTTTTCACCGCAAATCGTTGATAGGGAATACCAATTAGATTTGGACGATGAAGACGTTTTGGTATTTTTACATATCCAAAAAACAGGTGGTACCACATTTGGTCGACACTTGGTTAAAAACCTGGATGTGGGAAAACCATGTGTTTGTCGGAAAACAATGAAAAAATGTGAATGTTTAACTCGTAAGAAGACACTGTGGCTGTTTAGTCGCTATTCTACAGGCTGGGCGTGTGGTCTGCATGCGGACTGGACGGAACTGAAGAATTGTGTTGATTCAGCCATGGATAAGCAGGAAGAACTTCACAGAGAAAGAAGGTTGGACTTTTTTGTCCAATGGTTACAAAGCAATTTTATACGAATGATTGCGTTTCTCCCTAAAACCGTTTTGCCCCAGACAATTTCCCCCAAACTCTTTTTCACATCAGCTCATTTTGCCCAAATGCAAGTTTGACAACCATATATATGGCCAAAATTTTCTTTTTGCACAAAAATCTGTTTCGCCCCAAAACTCTTCATCGCCCCCAACTTTTTCATCGCTACAAAATGAACCTATATGATATATCTTGTGAAAGTGGCAGTAATATAATTATTGTCAATTTCACTTTATAATATTTGGGCACTTGGACTAAAGTTTCAACTTGCATTATAGTATGTCAGCTTTTTGTGTTCTTAATCTTGCTGTTTTATGCTAAAGATTCTCTAACATTTTTGTCTTTACATAAAAATGTACTGAAACCTCTTATTCTTAAGTACCGAATGACAGGGTACCAATATGTCTAGGATTTGTTAGGGCTGGTGCCATGATGATATTGAATATAGTAATTTACTAAACAGGCTGTATGTAGTAAATAACTCTCCCCTCCCCTACCCATGCATGACCCATATCGACATATCCGTTTTGTTTTAATTTTCAACCCAAGAGAAAATGCTCATTTTGGAAAGTCAAATACATACTCTCAAGGGTCTACTGAAGGCCCTACCCTGTGACTATTTTCTAATAATTCAGAATGATGCATATACATATTCTTGATTTTTTTTTGCCTTTCATATACATGTAAAAAATGTATATATATAGCACAATATTTCTGAAAAAGAGGGGTAAATATCGTGATTTTGGGGCCCAGATTGATCCCTGCAATTACATCTGTACAATTAAATTAGTGAGGTATGAAAACAAGCTTAAGTTGGCCTATACATGTAGATCTGCTGATGTGTATATATACGATATTCATGGCCAAGGAAATATGCACACGTGCATCTGACATGGATGACAATTCATGCAAATAGAAACGTATATTATGCATGACCCAAATTCTCAAGTGTAGGCGTAGGCCTGTTAAAATGAGTGGTATATACATGTATATGCATACACATACATTTTGTAATTGCCAAAAGTTTCCATGGGGAGATTTTGCTTTCCCAAAATTAAATTTTAAAACAACAATAATATGTGTGTGTATATATATATATATATGCAATGTACCCCAGAGACAAAATATTCCTTTAAAATGATATATTAGTTACATATTTTGAGTTGTTATTTCAGAAGAAATCATTTTATCTTAGAATAATATATATATATGTAGGAATAGTTTAGCAAATTTACTGGTTGAAATAACTTAACTTAAGGGTCAAAAATCGGGTGTCTCCCTTCTAAATAGGGAGAGTTGGGATATATACAATTTACATGCATTGTACATAAAAAACAGAACTCCAGACTTTCAATGACCAAGGATTTGGGTCATCTTGATCATTATATGTAGATAAAATTTTTGCTGCACAATTTTTGCACATCCCAGCATCAATTACTTGAATCGGTACATTGATATTGATCACATGTAATAACTGTTATGGTGTCATTTGTTATGTAGTTACATACAAGTATATACAATAATGTACATTTAAGTGATCGAGGGCATTATGCATTATTAGTGGCTTAATTATTAAGGATTAATCCCATATGCATGCTGCTGCAAAAAACTGTGACTCTTGGCGTTGGGAACTGTTTTCTCCGACATGACTTTGAATATATATAGCTTTATATTTGTTATTTTAAATCATTCTGAAAAGTAAACCCTCAAATACAATGTTAAATTGTGTATTGCTAATATCCAACAAGACTCGTATGAGCTCTTGATTAGGGTAACAATACTGGTTTGATGCATATGAGACTTGTTTATTTAACTAGCTTATATATATATATATGCAGTAGGTATAATTATGACATGATATATAGGATATTTTCAATTGGAAAAAGTTCTTTATCTCTTCTTTATAGTACATGTGTGTGTAAGATGCTGTTCATATCTATACAAGAAACAAAAATCTCTGTTAAAAACATTTATAAATGTACATGTAACATAGTCTATTTAAAGTTTCCATTTGTATACAGTATATATATGCACTGTTCAGTTTGTCAAGAACAAAATATTCCTTGTTGACATGTACAGTGTATTATCAATTTATATATATGTATATTTAAATTCACCAACTTGTGCAAAGGAACTTACAGCTCTTAGTCTATATAGTATAAATGATGAACTGGGATTTTTTTTTTATTTTCATATTTTTGCACCCAGGCTATCAAACCAGGTGAAATCTTGTATTCTACATCATTATACTTTAATTTCTGTGGACATGCTATATATATAGGGGCCATTAATGCTGTACATGTGATACAGGGTTTTTAAAGTGGTCCTACTGTACCATCATCAGAGGATGTTGTCATTGCAAAAAAAACTTTTATTTATATATGTTGATTATTGATCTGATGTATTCTAATCCTACGTATGCAGTCAGGTCTACTCTGAAGAGGAGGCTCTTAAAATCGTGCTAGGGATATATAGCTCCTGTGTATATTTAAAAAGATTACTGTGTAGGCCAATACTAATTAATGCCACTGACTCAAGTGTAAGAGGAAGTGACCTACATGTACATATGTAATTAAGTATGTTTGTCATTACAGGGCAGGTTGAGTGGGCGGGTTACATATACAGTATTGATATAATGCCAGCTTATATAATTATGCACTTGGTTTTAGAAAATTACAAAGAAAAGGGAAAAAATCATGGCGTTCATGATATTAATCATTAAAGTTTTGGTACATTAAAGTTCCTAGATGGCCTAGCTTTAGCTTGGGCCCCTACAGAATCTGAGTTTTTTTCTGTCTTTAATTACAATTAGTGGACATTGGAGAAAAAAATGATTTGCTGCCCCCATTGCAACTCCTAATATTTCTTTTCTCTCCTACACTACCCAATCTAATTAAAATCAGACTCTCCTACACTACCCAATTTAATTAAAATCACACTACCCAATCTAATTAAAGTTAGACTCTCCTACCCTACCCAATCTAATTAAAGTTAGACTCTCCTACCCTACCCAATCTAATTAAAGTTAGACTCTCCTACACTACCCAATTTAATTAAAATCACACTACCCAATCTAATTAAAGTTAGACTCTCCTACACTACCCAATTTAATTAAAATCACACTACCCAATCTAATTAAAGTTAGACTCTCCTACCCTACCCAATCTAATTAAAGTTAGACTCTCCTACCCTACCCAATCTAATTAAAGTTAGACTCTCCTACACTACCCAATCGAACTAAAATTAGACTCTCCTACACTTCCCAATCTAATTAAAGTCAGACTCTCCTACACTACCAATCTAATTAAAGTTAGACTCTCCTACACTACCCAATTTAATTAAAATCACACTACCCAATCTAATTAAAGTTAGACTCTCCTACACCACCCAATCGAACTAAAATTAGACTCTCCTACACTCCCCAATCTAATTAAAATTAGACTCTCCTACACTTCCCAATCTAATTAAAGTTAGACTCTCCTACACTACCCAATTTAATTAAAATCACACTACCCAATCTAATTAAAGTTAGACTCTCCTACGCTACCCAATCTAATTAAAATCAGACTCTCCTACACTACCCAATTTAATTAAAATCACACTACCCAATCTAATTAAAGTTAGACTCTCCTACACCACCCAATCGAACTAAAATTAGACTCTCCTACACTACCCAATCAAACTAAAATTAGACTCTCCTACACTACCCAATCTTATTAAAATTAGTCTCTCCTACACTACCCAATCTAATTAAAGTCAGACTCTCCTACACTACCAATCTAATTAAAGTTAGACTCTCCTACACTACCCAATTTAATTAAAATCACACTACCCAATCTAATTAAAGTTAGACTCTCCTACGCTACCCAATCTAATTAAAATCAGACTCTCCTACACTACCCAATCTAATTACAATTAGACTCTCCTACACTACCCAATCTAATTAAAATAAGACTCCTACACTACCCAATCTAACTAAAATTAGACTCCTACACTACCCAATCTAACTAAAATTAGACTCTACTACACTACCCAATCTAATTAAAGTTAGACTCTCCTACGCTACCCAATCTAATTAAAATTAGACTCTCCTACACTTCCCAATCTAATTAAAGTCAGACTCTCCTACACTACCAATCTAATTAAAGTTAGACTCTCCTACACTACCCAATTTAATTAAAATCACACTACCCAATCTAATTAAAGTTAGACTCTCCTACCCTACCCAATCTAATTAAAGTTAGACTCTCCTACCCTACCCAATCTAATTAAAGTTAGACTCTCCTACGCTACCCAATCTAATTAAAATCAGACTCTCCTACACTACCCAATTTAATTAAAATCACACTACCCAATCTAATTAAAGTTAGACTCTCCTACACTACCCAATCTAATTAAAATTAGACTCTCCTACACTACCCAATCTTATTAAAATTAGTCTCTCCTACACTACCCAATCTAATTAAAATTAGACTTGTAATTCCGCTCTTCTACGATACACTCCGATATACTATACTTGTATTGGATTGTAGTGTATCGTAGAGGAGCAGAATTACAAGTGTGATTTTAATAAGATTGCTACAGCACCCCTTTCTACTTTTTGGTGTTCTTGTTACTGGCATTTGTTTTCATGACATTAGATCATGTTGTGAAGACTTCAAACGTTTAACCATGACCCATGACCCAATATAGTCCCTATGTGGGTGCCAAACACTGTTAGATTTAATAACAGAGGTAACTGTTTCATGTGTTCAAAATGTCTTGTGTCATGTATGATTCAAGCTCTAGTCAGCCTCAGACAGAGATAAAACATGTTTGTTTTCTGTAAAACAAATCCTGGTTTGTGAACATTTTTAATCGTTTGCACATCAGATTTAATTTGTACCTGCTCATATAATTGTTTTCAAGAATACACTGTACATTACTGTTGTTTATATTTCAGGTACCATTACATCACAATTCTTCGAGATCCTATTGGACGTTACCTGAGCGAGTTCAAACATGTGCAGCGTGGCGCCACCTGGAAAACAGCACGTCTTTTTTGTAATGGTCGGCAAGCAACATTAGAGGAAGTTCCTTTTTGTTACGAGGGAGAAACGTGGGAAAATGTTGACCTAAGAAGCTTTTTGAATTGTAAATATAATCTGGCAAACAATCGACAGACTCGCATGCTAGCTAACCTCAGTAAGATCAATTGTTATAATAAAACCGGACTCTCGGATGAAGAACGGGATCAAAAAATGTTAGAAAGTGCAATCGAAAATCTCCAGAACTTTTCTTTTTTCGGACTTACAGAGTTTCAAAAAGAAACGCAGATGTTATTTGAACACACTTTCAATCTTAAGTTTATTGAGGATTTTGAACAGCACAACGCCACACACAGAAAACGACTCCCCATTAGTGAAGAAAACATGTTTAAAATCAAGGAGTTCAATGATCTGGACATGAAGCTTTATCAGTTTGCGAGGGAGTTATTCCAGCGTCGCGTAGAGAAAATGAAGGAAGATCTGAGGGAGGAAATACAAGACAGTACAAATGATCAGGAAATTGTGGCATTTTCTGGTGACACGTAAGCAAAGTAATATGTTTCAACAGATCGTGTTTGATTTATTGCAAGTTTTGTTGAGAGATGATGGAATTTATAACATAGTAGTCATTGATCATGCATGACTGGTGATGTTGTATTTCTATGAAAGTTTGAATGCGATATTAGTAGAAAATATAATACGAAAGATACACAAATCATGTTTGTATATAATACACATGAACAGAGGACATATCAGTTGTGGTACGTTTGTATGTAATTAACCTGTCATGATATGATACATAATTATATGATAAGTCTAAAACGTTGCTTTTTTGGAAGGCCATAGCTTGTTAGACTGGTGCTCCATAGGGAGGCACTTACTCCATAGGAGTTTTCAAAGATAACCTCCCACACCTATACCAGTAGTTATATATACACCAGTAATAATCATAGATTATTTAGCTGAAGTAAAAAGCACTCAAGGTTTAGAAAAGCCCAAATATTGATAAAAAGGTCTCTTTATGCCATGAAATTTTACAAGAATATCTTGAAAAGGTCAAATGAGCCTTGAATTTGATTTAGTGATCATTAAACTGTCTCTGTACTTAAATTTTGGTGGTTCTATGGTGTTATTCTCATAAAATTGAATTCAGGAAATATAAGAAATAATTTTGAGTTAAGTTCTGGTTTTTGGACTCCTGTCTAGTGTTAGATTTTAAGGTTGTTTGGTGTTTAATGGTGAGTTTAATGACATCCATGTATCACATCTAGATTATTCTAGTTTGAGAATCTGCAAATGGTGAGAGATTTTAAAAGCTTTAATTTCACTGAAAAATGCCATACAAAAGCCCTAAAAAGACTTGAATTTCACTTGAAAATTCTGGTATTAACCCTGGTACTAGTATAATGATTGGAAAATGAAACTAGGGACATGATGTTATCTGAACTATCACATAGAGACAATAAAAAATTCTTATTACAGCTTTGTTACGTCCTAATTCAATGGATTATTATACTTTAATGATATTAAATATAACCATAAACAAACTACATCTGTTTCTTTAAAAAAGTTCCTTTGAAATCTGTAAATTTTGAAATGTCAGTATACATTATTGAGAAGCAAACAGGTTGTACAATGTACAAGGTAGTTATATTTTTTAAATGCGGTCCAAGTTTGTCTCTTTGTTGGTTAAAATCTGAGGTTGATGTATAAAGAGATGGTTGTTATGTATTAATGTTGAAGCTATGGTATGACAGCTGTATGTGCTAATAAACGGTCCTGATGTGTCACAAACTTGACGCAAGTTGTACATGTTTTTTAATGTAAACCCACTCAAGTGGGCAATAGTTGTATTTTTGTATATCTTACCTGTATATGAATCCTGTATAACCTGTTGACATTGTATTGTATATATACATACACCAAATATTTTTTTCTCTTAGAAAATGTGATTGCTTGTACAATGTACTGTATTAACTAAGTGAAACCATTGTATGGAAATGTACATAGTGAATTAGTCACTAAGTTAGAAGCAAATGTGAATCTGTTTTGAGAATGCCTGTATATGTCAGTAAGTGTTACTGGTGTGTCAGGGCACGTTCATTGTACATGTATCTCCTTTAAGATAACTGTATGTTAGATATGGGTTATACTAGGTGGTTAAATTTTATACACACATCACAATGCAGTTGTCTTGATAAACAAAACAATTGCTTGCTATAAGTAACAATCAGCTGTTTTTGCCCTTTGTTATTCTGCAGAAGGAAGGCACACAGACTTATCAAAACAGATATTTTATATTTATATGTGTTTATAAACATATATTTAATTCAGTACCTTTGCATATCTGTATACTTTTCATTTATGGGTTTGCATCATGATGGAAGGGTTGACAGCAGGTTGTTTGTTATTTACTAGTACTTTGTATATGGTATTTCTATGTTTGATCGGTACACAGACCTATGGGTATTTTCTAAAGTCTTACAATACATGTACAACTTTCTATAATACTGCATGATTTAGTTTATAAAAGAGGAAGATACTTTATAGCAGGTTTAATTTGCATGTATATCAACTGTAATTCACTTATTTTGTAGTATATATATTTTTTCTCATTAATTTAAGAGGAAAATATCACAAATTGTAGCAGCTCGATGTACTAATTCATACATATACTTTTTCTTTTGTGTATTAAGATACTTGCAATGAATTTTTTGAAGAACAATAACAAAAATACATGAACAGTTTATAGAATTTGTACTAGAAAAGATCATCGCAATGTCCAAAGTTAAACAAATAATTCAAGACCTTTCTGCTCTCTTCATTAATTAATCCCTTCCTGAAAAAAAAAAATGTTTTCTGAATTTTTTACCTTTTCAATAAAAAGTGAATGTACATGTTAGTAAATTATAATTGATAAGAAAAATCCTGTACTGCTGTAGAGAAAAATGTCAAGCAGTAGAATTGAGTAGAACTTTGAAGTAGTAGGCCAAGCCTGAAAACAGTGGCTGTGAAACATTTCTTTTTTGGTGTGATAAATTGACTCCACAGTTTTGTTGTATGGACATAATATAGTGTTTGTGCTCTAATCCTTTTTAAGAAATGGTTACTATTCCTCGGTATTGTAATGACACTTGTTATATACTGTGCAGATGAAAGAGTAACAACTAAAGTTTAAATGAAATCCACAAATAACCAAAGATTCAATGTTGTTGTACTTACTATTAATTGGATAACTGGATTGTGTCCCTTTATCTAAGATTGCTCAGTTGACATTTTTTTAATTGGATATTTAAGATTGCTCAGTTGATTTCACGGGTTAGTTGTTTATTAGGTTACTGGTCCTGATCATAACTTATAATAATAGTTTGAGGTTCATATAAACCGCTTTATCACAACCTAGTTCATAGGTCGTCACAAAGCGGTTCACAAATTATTATCTGTAGTTATAGGGCCTTTGTAACTAGCCAATATTTTTCTCAACTCCCTGGTGGGGCAGCTAACATTCAACAATTCTAGCACTGCCCAACCACGAATTGCCTTGAATCTGCAACCCTTCAGTCACGAGCCCGGCGTCCTACCATTAGACTACCGTGCCTCCATGTTTGCCTTAAGTATTGTACAATAACCGTGGTGGCCAAGTGGTTAAGGTGTCTGACATTCTGCTACCACTGGCTCTCCACCACTTGGTCACAGGTTCTACGTTGGGCAGTCACCAGGTACTGGATAAAGGTCGGTGGCTTTCCTCCACTAGCAAATTAAAACCTGTCATGCCCTTAAATGACCATAGTGCTAATAGGATGTAAAACACAAACAAACCAAACCAAACCTTGGTAGTCAAGTACAAAATACTACACAAGCTTTTATAGATGTCCTCAATGTCTAGTAAACTGAACAAGACACAAGAGACTTTCATCCCCGTTGTCTAGTATACACTAGGCAAATTATTTTGTGGCTGATTTTGTTGTTTTAAAGGCAACAAAATGATGAATCGATAGAAAAGAAGATAAAAAGTGTAAAATTTAGTTTAGATAATAAATTAAAGTTAAAATATCAAGATATTCACATTTTTTTTTTTCAATTTCTACTCAAGTTGAACAGCATGAAACTAATCTGGTTTTCTTGTTTTATTTGTCCATACCACTCACCAGATTAACCTTGCCTGTGCAAATGAATTCAGACACAAGCAATCTACCACAACAGCAGACATTTTTGATGTAAAATTACGCACAACAATGTTGCATTAAGAATTCACCTTAAGCTTGGTCTGTGATGACGAACATGCAGTGGCAAAACTGTATTGTTTAACTGTAGCTTTGTATTATGAAGACTTGCACAAGGTCCAGTATTGAATGCCTGATAGTAGCTAGACTTACACAAGTTCCGGGTATTAACTAACGTGTTCATTCAGATATGATTATTGAATATATCCTTGGTCGATTTCATGGGCTGATGAATTGTGTTGATCTTGAGAATAATTCAAGTAGTTCATTAACTTTTTCTCAAAAGCAATAGTTCATCTAAGTTGTTCCTGTTTTATCTGAGTATAAGAAAACTGGTTTAAATAAAATCATGTGTACAATAACATTGTTTGCTATGCTTTTAGCTTGCAATAGATAAATTGAAATTCCAGTTTCACTTTTCAATTGTCTATTGTGTGTCCCTTTCAAACTAATTTGTTCATATGTAACAATATCTTGTCTTAATTTCAACTTTTAAACCATTAAAGATATTATGATCTGAAAGATGTACAGTTCCCTGTTATAATGATACAGTGACCTTCACATTTTAAGTCAAAGTCAAATTGGTGCTAAATTTCCAGTGAAGTCTTGTCTGGTTTGTAAATTTAAACTGCCAATGATATCATGATGAAATTTGAATCATTCATGCATGACCCACTGAAGGGTCGTATTTAGCTACACTTTGTATATATAAAAGTAACCTCCACCTCTAGGCCATACGTTTTAGGTCAAATTTTTTCATATTTAGGTCAAATGATTGCATTTTGTCACTAAATTGCCACAAGTTTTAAACTGTTATAGATAACTTGATGAAACCTGAGGTAAAATTGTACCTAAATCACCCATAGAAGATGTGAAGTTCAATGTGACGGTATGTAGGTCATAGTGAACCTTACCTTTAAGTAATGACCAAATAAGAACAAAACAAATATGCATATTGGCTAATAAGGGGACACACAAAAGGTGTTCAAAAAACAAATTCCAATTCAATGAATGAATTCCTGATCTTGAAGCCCATCAAAGGTCAAATATCTAGTTGTGAAAATTGAAACACTTTTGTATGTATTAAATAGAAATTACCTGTCATTGTTGCTGTTTTATTTAATGTTTTAATTGAATGTACACATAATGGAATGCAAGTCGTTATTAAAATACATAAATGATGATTTGCAAGATATAGCCACAAAAATGTTTATTTCACCTACTTATATATAAACTATATTTATTTTACAACAAATATGAAACAAGTTATTTCAACTAATTATTAATCACTCTTGTTGGCCCGGATGTTAGCGCGTGGGGGGTCTTAATGTGGAAGGAAACTGGAGTACCCAGTGTAAAACCCACGAGGTCTGGCAGGTGAAAGGCAAGTGCCCTATCCACTGTGCCACCTGACCATCTACCTTACTTGGTAACAATTATTTATTTTGAAAACTGGAAGGTGATTTGGTCATCAGTATGAATGTTAATTCACATCACACACACAATGACTGTGCCAATACAAATATTAACTCATTCACCCCTGAAATTCATAATGAATCAAATGTGTCTTCAGGGATGAATTAGTTAAAGCAATCAGACATTAAGATTTATGGAGGTTTCCATAACAACCAGTTACTCCTAAAACCAGCTGTTTTGTATTTATAGATTTATGTGGATTATAAACATCTTCCATACCCAGTCCTGATGTGACGAGCTGGACTGTAGACAAGTCACTGTTGAAATAAAGAAATTCTGTTTGTTCAAAAAATAATTAATTAAAATTACAAAGTAAAGTTGTTAATTTGTATAATGTCCATAGTCACACCCCCCATACATAAAATTTATTACGAACATAATGTAAAAAGGATTTTAAATTTTGAATTTTATCAGATACAGGTGTTCAAAGTCATTGTGGCAAAAATGCCTTATACTATTTTGTTATATTTTAAATTTCCTTGTGATGCTTTATACGAAAAATATATTTTTGCCTTTGCTTACAATTTTTTTTGTTATGACCTGCAACATCAATTGCAATCTAGATTATAATTTGATCATACAATTTTGGTGTTTCTACCAGATATCAAACATAGTATACTAATGTGATGATCAGAAAGTGGGGAATACTGACATTGGAAAATTGAAAAGGTTTTTACAATGTTACAAAGAAAAAAACGTTATATATTTGGTAGTTGTAGTGAATGCAGTTTGTTTACATGCATAATATCTGTAAATATTTATTCTGATATGTTAGATAAAACTTGTTGAGAGTGCAGTGTAGACTGCTCCTAAACAAATGGATGAAACACTATCACATACTTTTATTTCTTATTGTTCTTCAACAGTATTTATAATAAGACTGATTCCATCAATCAATTTTAATGCAGAGAAATTATGCAATTAATTAATCATCATTTGAATCGATTCAAGTAAGTCACATGTTATGGTGTGTAGATTGTACAGTGATGCCAAACGTTTTACAGATCTGGTTGTTGCACTTCAAGCATAGTTGTAATAAATAGCAAATTTAATCAAAACAGTCGGGGATATTTGTTGAGGATCGAAATGTTTAGTATTGTGTTGAAGTTTGTCTTTGTTGTATGGAAGAATTGTATTCAGGAGAATCTCATATGTCTATACCTTGGTTCCTTGTTACATCCAAACCGTGTAGTTATAAGACAAACATGGGTTTTAAGTATACTATGGAACCAGGTTAGTGTAGTTATAAGACAAACATGGGTTTTAGGTATACTATGGAACCAGGTTAGTGTAGTTACAAGACAAACATTGGTTTTGGGGTATACTATGGAACCAGGTTAGTGTAGTTATAAGACAAACATTGGTTTTGGGTATACTATGGAACCAGGTTAGTGTAGTTATAAGACAAACATCGGTTTTGGGTATACTATGGAACCAGGTTAGTGTAGTTATAAGACAAACATCGGTTTTGGGGTATACTATGGAACCGGGTTAGTGTAGTTATAAGACAAACATTGGTTTTGGGGTATACTATGGAACCAGGTTAGTGTAGTTATAAGACAAACATCGGTTTTAGGTAAACTATGGAACCAGGTTAGTCTGGCTATGTTTGTAATGGTTTGCAATAGAACCTTAACATTTAAGATTCACATTAGAACCTTGTGCATGATAGTCTACCCTTTATGGAGTTTTCCCATCTTTCAGTCAACAATACGTGTATGTTATTATTTTATCGCTCTTTTTACGTGATGGATTAAAACCATGAGATTATCCCACTGCAGGTCCACTAGGAATATGAAGTGAGAAAGCGCTTATTTAAAAGTTTAGAAAGTCAATGCAGAAAGCCAAACAAATCCTCTTTTACTTCACCATATGTTCCTATGTATGGAGATAATGCTTCGACTTGTCTCATTGTGTACAACAGAATCGTCTCTTTGTACATGTAGGTAGAATTAACAAAAGTGTACAACGGTAGGTCAGCTATGGCATTGTCCCATGAAAGGTACACTATGGAATTGCCCCTCTGTATTTGAACTGTCTAATTATCTTCTTGTATGTCAACTGTGGAATTGCCCTCTGTATGTCAACTGTGGAATTGCCCTCTGTATGTCAACTGTGGAATTGCCCTCTGTATGTTAACTGTGGAGTTGCCCTCTGTATGTTAACTGTGGAGTTGCCCTCTGTATGTTAACTGTGGAGTTGTCCTCTGTATGTTAACTGTGGAGTTGCCCTCTGTATGTTAACTGTGGA